GAAGAAACACAAAATGATGTAAACGAAGAAACACAAAATAATGTAAATGAAGAAACACAAAATGATGTAAACGAAGAAACACAAAATGATGTAAATTTCAAATTTACTAGAGATGATGTTATAAAAAATAAGGCCGTGTATGAAATGTTGAGAAGTAGGCTTAAAAATTCACCATATGATGACCCTATATTTTTCCATAATAATGTCAGACTTACTCATATTAATATAAAAACGGTAAATGGTGAATCTGTTATAAAACCAGTGAGCTGTGTAGCACCTCTAATAATACTAAACAAATGTGATGAAAAAAGTAGTTCACCTTCAGTACAAGAAAAGTATGTACTTACTTATTAATGGATGATATTTGATTTATTAAATTGTCATAATTCTATGTTTTAGACCGTTAGAATTACATCAAAGTACTTCAAATGGGAGTTCTAGTAAAAGGGAAACAAGAGCTAATACAACCAAGATTAAAACAAATAGGTATGTTTACTTTTAGAGTTTTTACGCGTTCTTAATGAAATTCAAATAAATTTTTTTATTTAACTTAATATATAGTTATCAAAGATATTAGAGATATTATTGTTTTTTTAAGAATTTCAATTGCCAATAAATTGGCACATTTTAAATTATGAATAAAAAAATAATAGTTTCGGTGCTTATTTAATAGAGTTAAATATTATTCCATAAAATATGAAATTTATTTTTAAATATGATAATTGATATATTAAATTATTTATTTTTTTTCAAGGAGAAAGGTTCATAATCTGATACTATAATTTGTTCATTAATAATTATTAATAAATAATTAAAAATATTTAATCAACTAAAAATAATAATGATTAAAATAGACATTTGTTGTAGATAATCAATAGTTTGAATTTGTGAAATATATTTAATTAACTAGTAATATTTTTATTTCAAAAAAAATATAAATTTTGACTTCTCATTGGTTATTTTGTTGTTACTATAAACCAGCGGTTCTTAACCTGTGGTTCATAACTCCCTGGGAGGTTTGTGATACTCATGTTGGAGATCCGCAGCAGCTTTAACATATGTCAATATATGATATGAGTGAAGAATTGCAATATTGTTGGATTATTATTATTTTTTCATACATCTTATCTTGATTACACCAATGACAAGATATAATGGAATTCGATAGAATTAACTATATACAGTGTTAGATACTATAAAAAAAATAGGTGTAGATTCTACAACCAATAATTTTATTATTAATATTCATTTGTTAGTAAGGAACAGATTTATAAGTAATAAAAATAAAGAATAATTATATGTATAATTATTAAATTATCAAATGTTAAATGTTGCCTATTAGGTCTCAAAATATTTTTAAAACGGCTAAATAATCATTCCACATCAACCAATGTAATGGAGCATATTTGAAGTGCATAATATCTGAAGGTGATAATTCCAAATTTTTAGAAAGGTATTTGCCACTCATAATGTCATTGGTTATTTAAAAATCAATATAGTCTGGATTTTTTTTTGTAACAACATGAATTTTTTCCTACAATATAACAATAAATGGCTATTTTTGTTCACTGCAATAAGGATTGAAAACGTATGAATGATTAAATGATAAAATGCTTAAAAATATTTATAAATTAGTGAAATGTGTAAAAAATATGTAAAATCAAAGTAGCACAATTTTAATAAGAATGATTTAAATCGTGAACATTTATTATTGAATCTTAAATATCTTATTTTAATAAAAATATGCATTTACATATAAATCTGTTCCCTATTTATCAGTTTTTCTTGTTTATACAAAATGTTTAGGTGTACAGCATTTTAGTTGGCAGCCTTATATTTAGTACTAATGTCTTATATGCAACATCAACCATTGCATTAAGTAAATAAAAATCAAATTTTAAGAATATTAATAATAAAATAAATTACTTTTTATGAAAAATAAGTGTAATAAAAATAATTTTAAATGAGTATGTTTTGTTATGTCTACTTATGAAACTTTTAGTATAAAATAATTATTATAATTTTGGTTATAATAACATGAGATGTTTTATATAAAAAAGTATTTAAAAAAAAAAATTGGTAAGGGGTCCGCAATTTCTAAAAAATTTTGATCAGGTGTCTGAAATCTACTAAAGGTTAAGAACTGCTACTATAAACTATTATTAGTATAGTGAATGTTTTGTTTCTATGAAGTTACCTAATAGTGGTAACTAAGTATATTAATTATGAAGATTATAAATTAATTAATTTTATATTTATGTTATTATTTTTTTTTTAGTTCCAATGCTAATGTTGAAACTAGTACTAAAAAGCGAAGTTTGACAATCAAAAATAGTAAATGCAAATCATCAAAAAAAAAAAAAAAATTAAAACAACCTTACATTCATTAATATTTGTATAGTATTTATTCATTTTTGAATTGTTAAAACTTAAAATCAAATGTTTCTTCTGTATATAATTTAAAAGTAAACAAGAATAGTATTCTTATTTATATTAGATATATTATTTGTACTATACTACAAATCAGTGGACTTTTTTATTTACTCATTTAAATATTTTATGGTAATTTTGAATGTTTTTTCACTTATTAATGTATAAAATCTTTATTTCACTCTAATTATTAAATACGCTTAATTTATGTGATATAAATGTATATATGAATTTAATAGAATTATGCAAGGCCATTCCTGTGGAAGAGGTTTGTTTATTCCTGACAATTTTTCAGATTATCTAGAAAAATTTAACATGAATATTTATTTTTTTTTTTTATATATATTTCCATCTTTCAGAAAATTTTTCTTGAGTATAACCTTGTAATTTTATTATTATTATTATTTTTTTTTAATAATAAATTCCAACATACAAAAATGTTCAGACAAATGTAATCAATGATAGGTGATCAACTTTTGTTAGTATAGTTAACATTTAGATGTTTTTTGTGAATAAATGGAAATATAGATTTTGAATTAAATGCATTTTAAACATTTTAAATCCTTAATGATACATATAAATGCCAAACTGATTTTTTTGTTGAACTTTTCTATGTTTTTATTGTGTATGCCAACTTCAAGCTTTGTTAATATGTTTCCATTTTATTTATATCCATCTTTTCTATGTTTATATGTTAAGTATATTAAATATAAATATATTACATGTGTAACTAAAATTTATTGTTCTGTATAATTGTTATTATACTTACTAAATTAAGAATAAGAAATGCAAGGTGTTCAACTAACATTTATTACAGAAATCACACTTGATTTTCTTGTGATTGATTTAACCAACTAAGTTACAGTTAAAATATGTGCCTTGTTAAAAATAATATGTTTTTGTTTAGAATTAACATTTCTACAAAACCACTGCATTGTTTTTCTATAAAGTACCTAATATGCCCTATGCTAAAAAGTTTATTTTAAGTTTTTAATTGGAACAATGAAATTATTTTAAGTATTTAAATTGTTTGGAATATAAATGAAAATAAGTTAATTTAAATTATTAAAGTATTAAATTTTCATATATTTTCTCCATTCAAAATTATTTGTGCACAATTATTATGCAGCGTCTTTATTAAGTTAATATAATTAATTATATTTTTTCAATAGAAATCTAAAGAAAAAATTTCAATTCAAGGGCATACATTTCTTTAGGTTACTATTAAAAAATAGTCTATTATATCGGTGAGCTGCTGAGATAATTATGGCAATTACAGGTGTTTAGGGACAACTGCGTATAATATTATCATAATATTATATTTAGTGATGTATTGCTAAAATAAACCGTGGGTATACGCTGTATTCACGTAGATATATATTGGTATATATTATATATATAATGGAGAGATTCAGGTAGGGTCCAAACAAATTTTTCTCGCTCCGCTCGAACTAAAACTTTTATTTCTCTTAACAATATACTACATAAAAAACAATGAATTATTTTATCGATTAATATTTTAATATTACAAAAAATATATTTTACATTTTAAATGTTATATTTTTTTTATACACATTAGAATCATATTGTGATACCGCAAAAAAAAGTATTATACAATCGACTAACGATATATCGTAGTTGCAAGGTTATTTATTGATGTATTATATTTATCTACAACCGTGATATATTATTTAAAATTTTTATATAGAATATATGGTAAATACGGCCGTAAACCCGCGTATCATTAATTTGTCATGAACTATATACGTCTTGGATACAAATAGCGTATTGGGTATACGTCGTATACCTCCGTTTACCCCCAATACACCACTGCGATTTTGTCTCTCTCTTACAATATGTGGTCTTTTAAAGTATTTCAACGATTTTATAAGTCGTTAGTTTTGTAACAAATTAATTTATATACTCAAAAATACGAAAAAAAAAACATAATTATTTTTGGTTTTAATTTTTCAGTTTATTCAACATTTTTAACAAATCCAAGAATAATAATAATAATAATAATAAAAAAAAAATTCTTTTAGAAAAAAACATGGCTCAAAGTGGCTCAAACATGGTTTTTTTGAAACAATTTTGAAAAAAATAATATCGTATCAATGCGAGAAGTAGATGAACAAGTACCTAGTATAAACAGAAAGGGTGGGGAGGAGGATACATCGGCAGGACGACACAATAAACTAGATTGGGAGGGGGGAGATACGAGATTGCGAATGGGTGCTATAGATGGAAAACAGGCCACTGGTCACCTTCACAACGTCTTCGCGACCGGTCCCACGGGCAGAGCTTCACGGACGCGTTTCGCTCGGGTGCGCAACACGACGACCACAAGACGGCAGACGAGGTCCGCCGAACCGCCACGATGGTCGACCGCGTCAGCGACCGAACTCGCGTCGTCCGCAAATCCCGTCACACCGTGAGTGGTCGCGAAGAACTGCTCCGGTGACTTACCGCCGGGCACCGTGAGTGCTCTGTCTAGTCGCCGTCGTCCTAGCCCATGTCTTTGGCAAAGGGGGTGGGGGAAGCTCCTGCGGACGCCTTCTCAACGCTCACAGCAACAGCACAAGCGCGACGCCATTCGCTTAAAACGTCGTCATGCAGTGGCAAATCGCCCTCTGCATGGCTTCTTCTTGTAATCTGTTGCTATGTGCGGATCCGGCTCACTTGCCAGGTGAACTTCCACACATTCCTCCTTTGCCGGGTTGTTGCCATCCACGATTGCCCCGTTACCCACATTGGCATCAAAAGTGCCATCGACGGTAGAATCGTCAGTAGCATTGACAGTGCTATCGACGGTGGCAGTAACGGTGGAATTGACAGTAGGATCGGCATTGCCGCAGACGGCGTCATCGAAGATGGCACCGATAGTGTTATCGAAGATGACACCGAGAGTAGCATCAATTGTGACACTGAGAGTAGCATCAATTATGACGTCGATGGTGGCATTGATGATGGCATCGGTTTTGCGATTGACGATGGCTTCGTCAGCAATGATGGGTTGTTAGTCATTCTCCATCTCCACCGCCGGCAAAGTGAGTTCGCGCGACGCGCTCTGCAGTAAATTGCGTTTCAGATACTGGTGGTGGTGTTTGATTTGATTCTGAAATGGTAATCATATAACTCTCTATTGATGTGTCGTCTCCTTCACTGTTACTGTCTTCGAACAGTTCAAATGTGAGTTTAAAATTTAGTGGAATATCCACTTTGGACGTATACATTTTAAACTTCTATAATATTGATGTTAATATTTAATCTTGTATTTACACTAAACAGTATACAGGCTCGGCAGTTTTCGAATTCCGAACTTCATACGGGGTCGAGGCTATTTTTGGATAGTGTAATAGTGTACATAATAAAATAATAATTGTATATTATTATTATTATTTATTTTATACCGTGATATTAATTATGACTGATGATAAACTAGAAGTTTGCGCATACCCATAAGTGCATGCATTTTCAGCTTTAAGATATATGCATAAATCCAAAAATAAGGATTCGGGTATACGTCGTATATCTGCGTATATCCAATACACCACTGATTATAATACAGGTAATGATTACTCTGCTTAGTCGCCATTTATTGGAGTGGGTTTGGATACCAGAGCATTTGAGTCTATTAACCAAGAAAAAATGCATTGTAATGAAAACAATTCAATTTGTCCACGGCCCACGGGTTAATACATTCATTATAACGTATTTTAAATATATGAAAACATATGATACACGCGTCGTTCTTTTTTTTTTCGATGCTAGGAGCCAGATAATATATTCAGAGGCTATAGGGGAACCAACGGAAGAGAGTAAATAGACAATCCCCCACTGAGATAATATAAAACTGACGAAGGAAGAAATCCAGTAAAATCGGGCTTTGGCCATTTCGGGTCCCGTGATCCAGTTACAGACAAACAAACCATTTAGTTAACGAAAAAGGAAAAAAAAACTCAAACCGTACTTATACATTTTCAACCTACATTTCCATTTTAAAATAGATGTGGGCAAAGGGACATCGTACTCGTAAGCGTAGGTACTCGAATTGAAGGTGGTAGGTACTGATGATTGTTGAACTTGTAGTTTTGCAATATTACGCAGATAATTCGTTAACAATATTAGTCAATTATTATTAACGATGCCGTTACATAGACGATTATATTGTGGAGAGAATAATTATTGTACGCGCAGTTTTTCTCGGCAGTAGTGATAATAATAATAATAATAATAAATGAATAAATTAATAATAATAGATGATACCTTTTTACTCCGCAAATAATTTCCTGTCAATAATAAATCTATTCCTGTAAAAACGATCAAGACGTATAGGCATATGACAGACATTATTACCGGTCAACAGGGTTTTGCAGAACTGTTGAAATCCAGTGAAAACAATAAATACTCATCTGGTTGTAGCACCTCTGCAGGCGTGCGCGTGAAGTGTGCCGAGCGTGCCGTGGTGGGCTGTAGCTTTTAATACGTCGAAATTAATTTATGCCACCATTTTTTATGGTTGGTTTGAGCTGCAAATACCGACTCGTGGGCACGAAAAAATCGTCATTCGGTTACCTACCATTGTCCACTGTCCGTTATTAATTAATTAATAATTATCGTTGGATACAAATTATCGTCACAATAATTTAAAGTAAATAATACTATTGACCAGAACTAAGGTCCTGGTCGTTATTAGTTTATTGTGTTATAGGTATCTTCATCCACGGTTATCGGTAATCGGTTTATCACAATTCACAATTATTTTTAATTATCTTTGGGGAAGGGTTTCACGTTTCATGATTTATTTATAGTTAGTTTAAATATTGCTTATGGTACCTACTGCTATACTTATAGAGTCACTGTTTTTGGTGTTGTAACTATTTGAAAATAAATCAAGATTAGGTGGTGATTTTATCGAGTTAGTTATAACGTCGGTATCCTTTAATTGTTCATAATGAAAATATATT